CACGTAACCTCCAGGGGGCCTGGCGATCTCACCCATCAGACGGGGCTGGCCAGCTTCTCTGCAGAGCTGCTGTGGGGGGTCAGGCGAGAAGACAGAGGGTCGTGTCCCTGCCCAGCCACTCCGAGCTCTCCCAGCTGGGAAGGTGGCTTTGCTGACACCGGGTGTCACTTGGAGGGGAACCTGGGATGTCACCTGCCCCACTCCGCCACAGCTGCTGGTGAATCAGCTCCTGGCTCGGGTGTCCATGGCCGAGGCCTGATGGCTCCGTGACCCAGCCGTTACTGCGTCTACACGGAGAGATGGTGCATACCGTACAGCTGGGTGCCCAAGGTGCCAGGCACCCTTTTCTGGGATGAACTCTGCGTGGTGGGGGTGCTGGTGTCAAGGGCACCACCCAGGCTCTTTGTCTCATTTCTAGCCCTGAGCTCTGAAGTGGGGACATTTACCTACACCTTTGTTGTTGTTGTTTTTCCTGGGAGAGGCAGAGAGACAACCACGCAGAGGGCCCCCGTCTGCTGGTCTGCTCCCCACATGGCCACAGGGGCCTGAGCCAGGAGCTGGGAGTGCCAGCCAGGTCTGCTGCGTGGGTGGCAAGAACCCAGTTACCTGAGCCATTTCCGGCTGCCTTCCCAGGCAGGAAGCTGCATGGAAAGCCGAGCTGCCGAGGCGGGGGTGTGGCTGTCCCAGGCAGCAGCCTAGACCACGGTGCCACAACGCTGGCTCCATCCTGCTATCCTCTAACCTTTAACCAATCTGTGATTCACACCAGGGAGGGCTGGGAGGAGATTCCAGCAGATAAACCCTCCACAGTGCTGGGAGACCTCGGATTTAATGGCGGACGTACCCGAAGTGACTGTAAGGAGAATTCCAGAAGGAAATTTAAGATTTATTTTAAAAATCAGAGTTAGTTACACAAGGAGGGATCTTCCACCTGGTGGTCACTCTGGTGGTCAGCCTATTGTGACAGCAGGGGATTGCGTCAGGATTTGCCGAAAGGGCTGGAAGAGAACCTTCTAGGCTCTCAAGCCTGGAGGAATGCGGCGCTGGTAGGTGGGGGTGGGTGGGGGTGGGTGGGGTAGATCCCGAGCTGATAGTACAGGGCCTCTGGAGCTTCCAGACAAAGGCCCCAGAGGTTGTCTCTGAAGCCGCCACAGACAGCACGGAAATGAATGGATGTTGGTTGTTTCCAATAAAACTTTATTTGCAGACACTGGAACTTGAATTTCACTTAATTTTCACGTGTCTCAAAATATTATTCTGATTTTTTTCAACCGTTTGAAAATAGGAAGACTGACTTGGGTGGAGAGCTGTAGAGAAACGGGGAGGGGCTGTCCCTGCTGGGGAGGGGGCTTGCAGAGTTGTCCTCAGTCCTTGCAAATGTGTTCCGGAACAGGTCTCAGGCTGCGTCTGCTGGCTGAGACAGGCCCCAGTGCTCAGTAACTGATGCGTGCGGTCAGCTGGAGCTGGCAGCGCAGTGGTTACGAGCAGGGCAGGGGCTGTGCCGAGCATAAAGAAAGGGGAAGGCTGCTGCCTGCAGCGCTGGCTGCGCACCTGCCATCCAGCTCCCGGGGAGAGCAGTGGAAAACACGGGAAGGTGGCGTAAGTGCCTGGGCCTCCGCACCCACAGGCTCCTGGCTCCTGGCTCCTGACCGGTCCCACTTCAGCCATTGTGGCCATTTGAGGAGTGAGGGAAGATCGCTCCCTCTCTCTATCTAACTCTGCCTTTCAGATAAATGAGTGAGCCTTAAAGAGAGACGAGTGAGCAGGGGAGATGTGCAGAGGTGCCTGTGGGACCTCGGGCAGGCCGCCTGGCCTCTCTGAGCTCCGTTCTTCATCTAAATAGGTGATCACAGTAGGATGTGGTGCAGCCGTGCAGTGCTCCTGTGCGACTCACACAGCCCTGTGTTCTCCCCAGGAAGGGTCGCTGTTACCCTCACACCTCTATGAAGAGTCTAAGGGGTATACCCCGCTGGACAGCAGTGCCCGATCGCGTTGGCCCACACCCCTGTAGAGGCAGTGTTGCCTAGAGGAGGCCCGGAGGCATGAAGGTGCTTGTCCAAGGTCGCAGAAGGCGCTTGTCCAAGGTCGCAGAAGGCGCTTGTCCAAGGCTGCAGGCTTGCAATCAGCAGCACGAGTCTCAACACACAGGAAGCCCTTGCAGGGGGAGTGAGGGAGATTACACATAGTTGATCCAGGCACTTGCTGATGGGATTAATTTAATCACTCGCGTGTTTCCCGTTACAGCCGGGGCTCTCGTAACCCCCCCTTGATACTCAGCTCCTTGGGGAGCTGGCATGTTTGGGGGACCTCACAGGCCTTTAGGCTGACGCATTTCCCTGAACAGCTTTGGGGGAGCTGTGTTGGTCCATGTGCAGGTCTCTTCAGAGCTGGTGTGGAAAGCTCTAGAAGATTCTAGAAGATTCTGGAAACTGAGGTCTGGGAGTAGCTGCTTTTGAAGAATGGATGCCCCCAGGTCTTGCAAAACAAAAGGTGCATGTGAGTTCCTGACTGCGGTTTCTGCCTCAGTTTCCTTCCTGCAAAATGGAGACGGGAGCGTCCTCCATTGGCACAGGCCCCGCCGTGGACGCCCAGAGGAGGCAGGGGAGGCAGCCCGTCCTTGGTGTGTGCAGGCCTCAGAGGTAAATCCCAGACAGTTGTCAGGAATCAGAGAGGCCCTGGCAGCCGCCATGACGACCCCGGGGAAGCTGGGCCGAGCCGGGGCCCTCTGCACCTGCTGCCCACCTCTGGCGGCTGTGATGGGGAGGAGGGCCAGCACCCGGGCACACGTCCGCTGTCAGGTACCTGGAGGAGGAGTGCTCTGACCCTGGCTCTGGGCACGCGGGCTGTGAGTGGCCGAGAGGCTGGGGAGGGGTGGGGCGTCAGCAGAGGAGGGGCTGCAGGGGTGACCGGCTGCCCCTGGTTTGCTGCAGGCTGAGGGCTGTGCTGGGGGTCGGGGTCTTATGGCTGACACGTGGGAAATGTCCAGCAGTCCAGGACTAATGGGTCACCCTGGTCACAGTGGTGGTGGTGGGGGTGGGGAGGGCGGGTGCAGGCGGTGTAAGGGGTCTTCTCTTCCCTGAGCCTCCTCCCTTCGACTTGCTGGGCCCTGCTCTGTGCTCCCAGAGGCCCAGCTGTCTCCTGAGAGTCAGTGAGGGCAGGCACTGCCCTTGTCCTCGGGCCAGCCCTGCCCGCTCCGGGCCAGCCGGGGGTCTGGTGGATGCTGTCAGAGGCAGGAATGAGGCTGGAGGGTCTCCGCCTCCACCCCCTGCACACCGGGACAGACCCCACGGCCAGTCCTGCACTGCACGCGTCGTCCCCTCTCCCACACACCCCTGCTTCCCGTGGCCACCTCCTCCGCTGTCCTTGGCTCAGGCCACCTCCTCTGTGACTCTACCCTCCCTTCCCGGCTGTGTCCCCAGGACTGAACCTCCCTCAATTCCAGCTTAGCATTTTCTCTGCTGTGGGAGGCACCTGAAGCAATGAATGGAGTTGAATCCACAGGGCAGAGTTTCTTTCTTTTTTTTTTTTTTAAGATTTTTATTTTATTTATTTGAAAGACAGAATTACAGAGAGAGGTAGAGACATCTGCTGGTTCACTCCCCAGTTGGCTGCAACCGCTGGAGCTGCGCCGATCCGAAACCAGGAGCCAGGAGCTTCTTCCTGGTCTCCCACGTGGGTGCAGGGGCCCAAGCACTTGGGCCATCTTCCACTGCTTTCCCAGGCCACAGCAGAGAGCTGGATTAGAAGTGGGGCAGCCGGGACTAGAATCAGCGTCCATATGGGATGCCAGGGCATTAACCGGCTGCGCCACAGCGCCAGCCCCTGCAGTCTTGTGCACGGACTCCTTGCGGAGGGCCTCCTGTGTGCTGGCACTGGCCTTGGTGTTGGGACAAGAAGTGTGGATGAGACTGGCAGAAACATTGCTCTTGGGGGAACGTACACTCTAGAAGCATCTAGACACAACAAGCAGACAAGCACGTGAGCAAGAACATGTTGGCAGGTTGGTAGTGCCCTGAGGAAAACAAGGAGAAAGCGAGTGGCCGGAGCCCCTGCCGGTTGCTTGCGGGCGCTCGGGCTGGGGCAGAGCAGGTCAGACTCCGTGGAGGGAAGCACTGGCGCCCAGCACAGGCACGGTCTTTTCTCTGGGGACAGATGGAAGCCGTCGTCCCTGGGTGTTGGGCGTCCTGCTGCTGAGTGTGGCCCTCTCGGGGACAGCGGCTTTGCCTGGGGGCTGCCAGTCCCTTCGAGGATTACCGTGTGCACGGCAGTAAGAACAGGGCCCCCAGTGTGGACCCCCTGCCCCAGCGGGGCGGGTGGCCCTGGAGCATGGCAGCTCAGGCAGGGACGGGGCTGCTGGGGAGAACCTGGGAGCGCTCCCTCCCTGGGTCCAGCAGCAGCTGTCGGGAGCCAGTGGATCGGGGTGGGTGGGGGATGATGGAGACGATGGGGGTGAGAGGTGCTGGGTCAGCTTCCAGGGCTGTGCACATGGCGAGTGCGGACCTCTGGCTCTGGCTCTGATGAGGAGCCCAGCCCCCTCGCAGACCCCCTTCCAGGAGCGGGGCCAGCAGCCTCCTCCCGCAAGTCCCCCAGAGCTGATGTGGGTGTGTTAAACACGCAGCGGCACGGAGGCCCGGAGGGTGGCTCCCCCCTATGGCCTGGGTGCAGGTGGCTGCTGGCGCTGAGGTCTGGGGATGAGGGGGCACCTGTGAGCCTACAGGGGGCCCCCGCTCCTGCAGAGAGCCCCATAGAGAGCAGAGGAGCAGAAGTCCGTTCCAGGGTTGGTTGGCCTGGGTGTCACACAGACAAGCCGTGACCCCCGGCATCTCCAAGCCCTGGCAGGAACTGGCTTGCACTAATTATAGCCCACAAGCCTGTTAACCACTGACCTTGCACCGTGCTCTGCAGATCCCAGAGAGGCGGCAGGGGCTTGTGAGTCAGTGCACACCCCCTCGCCGCCCAGCCGGATGGGGACGGCACAAACCCTTGTGCAACTACGGGGAGAACCAGCTTCGCGACCTTGGCCTTGGGCAGGCTACCTAACTATCTGGGCCTAAGCTTGACTTTGTTATCTCTAAATGAGTTAATCATTCCTATTTAACAGGAGACAGGAGGCCGGCAGTGAGCTGACATGGACTCACGCCTCACAGTGCCTGACCCTGGTAGGTACTTAGCAGTTTTAGTTCCAAGTTCTGCACCCCTTGGGAAAAACCCTGGAAGGCTTCCTGAAGGCAATGATGTCAGAGCTGATAGGTGAACGTAGCCAGGCAGAGAAGGGCAGAGAAACCAGCAGGAGCAAAGACACTGAGTGGGGATAGCCGTGGTGTACCCCGGCGTATGCGGGGAGCCCCAGGGAGTTCGGGCTGCAGGCCCAAGGAGGCGGGGTGAGGCTGGAGAAGGACTTTGTCCTGCTGTGCGTCTTGGATTCTCCCAGGTGGAGGCTGCAAGGCGTTGGGCAGCTGCAGTCAGACAGGCTCTTGACCCCGGGCCCTCTGGTGCCTGTTTCTGCTGAGAGAGGACCCTGGTTGCCCCCGGCTCCTGCAGAGTTGACGGATTCCCTGGGGCAGGAAGCAGAGCAGCCTCAGGAGCCGGGCAGGGCTGGGCTCTGGCCGTGGAGGGCTCAGGCTGGGGCAGGGGGTGCATGCCCCCACGGAGTCGGCGAGTTCAGCCTGAGACTCCCTCTGCTCATTCCCCTTGGGAGCACACCCTGTCTCTCCTCGGCCATTCTTCCCCAAGCTGGGTGTCACCTATCAAAGCAGAAGTGGGGGGGCGAGTGGTTCTGTGATGTTTTCTGCCCCAAATCTGGACACCGCACAGGGCGTTCCCCTTGGCTGGGAGGTGGGGTGTGCGGGGCTTTGTGCTCTGCCTGGTTCCTGATGCACCCGGGACGCAGGGGCCGCCAGACCCGGCCGGCGGAGTGGGACCGAGTAGCCGTGTCCTGGTGTTCAGGGCCTCGCGTGCCCCGAGCTCAGTGCCAGGCTTCTTTGTTACTATAGTGAAGCCCCAGGGAGCTCGCTTTGTAGACGGGAGGTTTTTCAGCTCATGATTTCGAAGGCGCCCGGTCCGAGATCCGATGACCCCGAGGTGTGGCGTCTGGTGGTGGCGTTCTTGGTGTTAGAATCCCGGGGTGGGGTGGTGCATCACGTGGCAGAGATGAGCGACTGCGTCCATGCCTGTGTCCATGCCTGTGTGTGTGTGACGTGTATCCGTGTCTGTCCACACCTGTGTGTGTGTGACCTGTGTCCCTGTATCCATGCCTATGTGTGTGAGACCTGTGTCCCTGTGTCCATGCCTGTGTGTGTGACCTGTGTTGCTGTCTGTCCACACCTGTGTATGTGAGACCTGTGTCCCTGTGTCCACGCCTGTGTGTGTGACCTATGTCCATGTCTGTCCATACCTGCGTGTGTGACCTGTGTCCATGTCTATGTCCACACCTGCGTGTGTGTGACCTGTGTCGCTGTCTGTGTGACCTCTTACACAGCCAGCAGGACTTAGTCCCAGGCGCTCTACTCTGCCTGCCCAGGGCAGTCCATGGCCTCCTAAGGGCCCCACCTCCACACACCACACCTGGAGTCCTGCTTCTCAGTGACATTAGCATAAGTCTTGGGAGCCAGACCCTTAGCATGGGGGCCTTTGAGACACTGAACATCCACACTCATACCCAAGTCACAGCCCAGGCTCTCTGCAGTTTTATAGATGCCCTTGCTATTCCCATACAAATAGGGGAACGGGGACAGAGAGGTTAATAAACCTGGCTGAGGTCACACAGCTGGCAGATGCCGAGGTTCCAGGCTTTTCTGAATAGCACGATGGAATGTTGGGCTGAGTACTCTGACTGATTCTCAAGTCCAGTGGAACTGGGACAGTTTTAAGTTTGTTACTAGAATGTAACATTGAAAGACTTCAAATTTGTGTTTAAAAAACTGTTACTTGAAGGAAACGGAAAACTTGAAAGTGACCCGATGATTCCGTGCTCTGCAGGAACTCTGCTTTTTTCTGCACTCCTTTCCTTTCTCGTCGACTTGGACGGTTTTTCCAAAATTTGCACAGCAGGAGTTGGCATACTGCAGCCAACAGGCCTAATGCCTTTTTTTCCCCAAGATTTTAAAATTAATTTTGAAAGAGTTACAGAGAGAGGAAGAGGGAGAGATATCCATCTTCCATCCACTGGTTCACTCCGCAGTTGGCCACGGTAGCCAGGGCTGGGCGAGGCCGAAGCCAGGAGCTACATCCGGGTCTCCCATGTGGGTGCAGGGGCCCAAGGACTTGACCCGTCTTCTGCTGCTTTTCCCAGGCACACTAGCAGGGAACCGGATTGGAAGTGGAGCAGCTGGGATTTGAACTGGGCCCATATGGGATGCCAGGCATTGCAGGCAATGGCTTTACCAGCTGTATCACAACACTGGCCCCCAAATGCCTGCTTTTATGAATAAAGCTTTATTGGGACACAGCTGTGCTCATTCCTGTGCGCATTATTTGTGGCTGTTTCTGTGCTGTGGTGACAGATCTGAGTGCTTGTCCCAGAGGCCAGATGGCTCATGAACCCTACCCGGTTGCTTCTGGCCCTTTCCAGAAAGCTTGCAACCTCCGCTCTGCGGCATCTGGGGTCTCGCAGCACGGCCTTCCTCTCTTCAGCCACGGCATTGTTCCGGGGCTTCAGTTCCTCAGTGCATGGATTGCAGACTTGAACGGTTTCTGTTTTGTTGGGCTGTTCCATTGCATGCTTATTTTCCCCCCCTTAGTAGAATGGTCACCGTTGCAAGTTTATTATTTACTTATTAGCAAGCATGTGTGTAGCACCGACTGTGTGCCAGAACTGTTCCAACCACTTTACTGGTATCAGCCCCTTTAGTATTTGGGTCACCAGGAACAGTCATACTATTATTATTCCCATTTTGCAGGTGAGAAAGTAAAGTCAGGACTTAAACGCGCTTGTTGCATAATTTTTCAGTGGCAAAGTCAGGGTTGAACCTGGGTTGGCTGACTTCTGGGTTTGTCCTCAGCAGCTGTTTGGAGTGCCCAGGACGGGCGAGGCTTTGTGAGTTGCTGTGTGTGAGGTCCCAGGGCTGGGGCACCAGGAGTGAGCCATGCCCTCCCGCTGACCCAACCAGCAGCCCCACATCACCCAGAGTTGGCCTTGCCCCGATCCTCCTTGTTAGCCAAGCGACTTGGACCAGGTGACCACAAATTCTGTTTCTTTGTTTAAAGAAGTGGCCCTGCAAAGAAGGCCAGCAGCTGATACCAAGAGAAGGAGCAGTGGGCTTAGAAAGTACCGGCTCCTGACCAGAGCCATCGCACTAGGGAGCATGAGATGGCCAGGCCCAGCTGGGGCTCTGCTCTCTGGACTCAGGGGTCTGTGGCTTGCTTAAGTCTTCAATAAATGAGAAATTTGCACATGTTCCAGTTGGATTGAAAAAAATCATTCTGGAAACTTGGTGACGTCAACTCCGTGGAAAATTCTGGGCCATTGGCAATGAGCGATGCTAAGGATGAGTGGCGCAGGTTGCCTTGGTCAAGCTCGTTCCTCATCTGGCCTGAGTCTGGGCCCCGGGGAAGCTGGCGACGGCTGCAGAGGCCCTGCCCAGGCTGCTCAGGGTTTCGGTGGGGGTTTGTGGAGCCCTCGCTGCCCATCCTGGGCCCCCAGCACGTTGTCCGAGGGGGCTCTGGGACCACAGAGACATTTTGGAAAGTGCATTTAGTGAGTGTGTCCCATAGGATATCTCTGAACTGGTGGGTTCCAGAAGGTTCCGAGTTGAGAAGTGTCCTGGGGTGGGGGAGGGGATCTGCAGGTGGTGGAAATGCTCTGGATGCCCCGCCCACTGCCCAGAAAGGGAGCCCGAGCTGCCAGGTCCCCGGGCAGGCAGGATCCAGGCTTGGTTCACCTCGGTGGCCTTCCACCCCGGCCGCAGCCTCGAGTGGGCCGTGAAATGGGACTGGTCATCAGATGAATTCAGGGGAGGGGAGCTTGCCCCGATGTGGTTCCGCGTGGGAGGATGAGATGGGCCCGCCTGCTGCCCGCCCACCTTCACCTGCCCACACAGCCGGGCCTGCCCCACTGTCCGCAGGCCTTCATCTGCCCACGCAGCCGGGCCTGCCCCGCTGTCCACCAGCCTTCACCTGCCCACGCAGCCGGGCCTGCCCCGCTGTCTGCCGGCCTTCATCTGCCCACGCAGCTGGGCCTGTCCCACTGTCCGCCAGCCTTCATCTGCCCACGCAGCTGAGATGAGAGGCGCAAGGGTCCCCGGCACAGCCATCTGGGGTTTGCTCAGCCATTGGCTCCGGCAATGCCAAGTCCAGGGCCCCTGCAGCTGGGGTCGCCGTCCCTGGCTGGGACCGCTCCCTGCGGAGTTGCACAAGGCCTCTGAGCCACAAGCCGCGCACACGCCTGCAGCTTGTCTTGTCCTTGCTGCCGAGGGGCTGCTGGGGCTGAGCGCCCACCGGCCCGAGCGCAGGGCTCACCCCCTCACCCCTCTCTCTGCAGTCGGTTGGTGTGCATGGGAAATCCTGTTTGACTCAGAAAGGAACCCCCCTTTCTCGGTTGTCCTGACTCACTTCCTCATTTTGCTGACCGTTTCGTAGCAGGGCCTGGGTGCGAGAGCCAGGCAGGCCTGGGCTTGTCCCTCGCTCCCTGCCCCGGGAGCTGTCTGGGCAGGAGCCTCAGTTTCTCCATTTGTGAGGGGGTGCAGTCAGCACCACAGGGACCTTCGGTGTGGTGGTGCCTTTGGGGCCATTACCACGCTGGCCCCACTCGTGGCAACTCTGGCCATCTTGACTGCTGTTTGTGACATTGTGTCCAACCCACAGCTCCTTCCTTTGTATCCAAAGATCCAGACCCTGGGCTCACCTTGACACACATGCAGGGCAGTCTAGGGGTGCAGGTGAGCCTGGGGTGGGGGCAGGGCAGCCTAGGGGTGCAGGTGAGCCTGAGGGGGGGAGGGCAGTCTAGGGGTGCAGGTGAGCCTGGGGGTGGGGGCGGGGCAGTCTAAGGGTACAGATGAGCCTGGGAGTAGGGCGATCTAGGGGTGTAGGTGAGCCTGGGGGTGGGGGATGGGGTACTAGCAGATGGGAGACTCCATCACCTGCCCCCAAAGGTGCACTAAACCCTGGCGCCAAGGCTGTTGTGTGTGCTCCTGACCTCCCCTGAGTCTGGCCCGGTCAGCCA